AAAATATAAGCAGTAAACTCGAATAAACCTTTATTCTAAAAGATTTCCAAAAACTTTGTATGATTTTTTTCCTGGTGCGTTTCACAAGAGCGCTTCGTCGTATTTAATTTTCAATTGCATAGCTCTTGTGTTTAGATTTTATAGATTTCTAAAATAAAACGATTTCTTCACTAACTCACTGATAATCATCAAAATTCTTAAAGCCCATCCAGACTCTCGCGAGGCCTCTCGCCCCGCCAATCGCCTCGCCTCGCGCGCGATTCTCGGCGAGTGAAATGTAGTCATCCACACTCTCGGTTTTATTCAGTCGCCCGCTACGTCTACTTCAATATGGACGTGATTCAAGTGACTGCGTTAGCTACTTTATGTGCCTACCAATATTATAATGTCTTACGATTATATCACCTAACCAAAAAAAGGAACTCAAAACGGAGAAGATGGTGGATGACGTCTATACACCGCAACAGGACGATGTAAGTATTTGTATTTGATGATTTTTTATGAATTTATTATTGTATGCCTAATTTATTCCTAAGTAATCGGCAATCCAAACGGATGAAAATTCATCCTTAAATCCTCAATATGTTATTTTAGACTACAACAAAAAAAGTACACATGTATGTCCTAAAGCATTTGGATGCTTAAGAGTACAATATGCACCACGTTTTTATTTTATTTTAAAATATTACTTTCTTTTGCAGACAAACTATGGACAAACAAATTACAGAACTACTTTCTGAATCATCTGGTGAATTTGAAAATTTTGTGCGCATGTCTTTCTTCGATTTTGAATACTTATTGAACAAAGTTGCTCCTATTATCGCCAAGCAAGATACTCAACTAAGGCACGCTATACCACCCAAAGTACGACTTGCCATTGCATTAAGGTTTTTGGCTACTGGCGACAGCTACAAAAGTCTACATTTTTTATTTAAAGTTTCAAGTCAGCTGATTTCAATAATTATACCAGAAGTTTGTGCTGCAATCAACGAAGCATTAAAAGACCAAGTAAAGGTAAATTGTTTTATTACAATTAAAATAATTTTTAGAAAAGTAATCAATCAATCAATACAAAACAAAACCATCATTCCAGGCTGTTATTAAAATTTTCGAGATAATCTCTGGCCGGTGTAACTATTATTTGATCGGACAAAATTTTTACTGATTGTGTGTTGTCGACTGGGTTATAATTCAGATCTGGAATGTGTAAAACAGGCGGATTCGTAGTTTCTAGCGGCATAGTATGAGGAATGTATTGAAGAACTGGTGGATATGTAACTGGAGCCTTCATATTATAATTTTTTACCATTTTATTCGGTACAGCAGGTTCTGAATATGATGTGCAACAAGATTCGCGTCGTTTTGGTATTCTAATGTTATGTACAGGTTCTGAGTAAGACGATTGAGAAGAAGTAGGTCGTTGTGAGATGTTTTCAGAGGTATAAAAATTAGGTGATGGGCTACTATTACTGCGTAAACGGTTTATGAACATGCCGTCTATTTCGTACATGAAAATAGCACGTTCATTTTCGGGTAGCCTCCGTAATTTTTTGGCAAGTAACTTGCAGTACAAGTCGCACTCGTCTTCTTCAGTTCTTTGGCCTTTTAGAACACTATTTAGAGTGTTGAATGTATCCTTCATTTGTTTACTAGTTTCATTGATTAAATATTCAGAACCTTTTGCTCGTCGACGCGGGTGCTGTGGTGGTAATGACTCTTGGCTAGTTGAAGCAATTGAAGATTGCGGCATGGTAGATTCTTCATGTGTACTTGATTCTTCTTCAATTTCAACAGCTTGTGAATTATTCTCCTGAAATGCAAATAGAAGATAAATAGCTAGCTGTTACCCTCGACTTCGCCCGCGTAGGATTTATTATTAAATATTGAATATTTTTTTAATATTTTTTGTTTGTTTCAGATCCCGTCTAGTGCCCAGGAGTGGCTAGATATAGAAAAAGGATTTAGAACAAAATTTCCTCACTGCGTTGGAGCAATTGACGGCAAACACATAGTTTTACAATGCCCTGTTGGATCTGCATCTGAATATTATAACTACAAAAATACATACAGTATTGTTCTCTTGGCATTAGTTGACAGTAATTATCGTTTTGTTTTCGCTGACATTGGAAGCCAGGGACGAATCAGCGATGGCGGAGTGTTTAGGAATTCTTTATTGTGGCATAAAGTTTGCTCAAATAATCTTAAATTGCCATCACCGTCTCCCCTTCCAGGTTCAGATAAAAATGTGCCTTATGTATTTATAGCAGATGGCGCATTTGCTCTAGACACTCATATAATGAAACCATACCCAGGCAATCACACTAGTGACTCACAAAAACGAATTTTTAACCAACGATTATCAAGCGCACGTGTAGTAGTAGAGAATGTTTTTGGCATACTGTCGTCGAAATTTAGAATTTTCAGAAAACCTATATTATTAGATCCTAACAAAGCATCAGTAGTAACAATGACATGCATTTTACTGCACAACTTCCTTAGAAGGAGTGAAACATCTAGTACATTATACACTCCTGCATGTGCAGTGGATATTTTTGATGATAATGGGATTTTGGTCCAACCTGGTTCTTGGAGAAATGACGTTCAGAATAACGGTGCCCTGCAGCGTCTGGATCAAATACCACGCAGAGCAACATTAAATGCAACTCAGATAAGAGAAGAGTTTACTTCATATTTCTGTACAAACTTGTATATCAAATAGACTTATATATTTCGCCAAAATAAACTAAATTCCTACTTAATTTACCAAAAAATGTGTTTTATTTCACTTCACTTACATGTCTCTCCGTGTTTATTGTAGGTAAACATTCATTGATGCCACCCAAAAAGCTTTCCATTAGTTCGTATAAAAACCATATGGGTTTATAAATATCATTTATACCGGCACCAGATTTAATCGAAGCTTTTTTCCTTCTCAAGTGCCCTCTAAAAGTCGCCATTAATGAATTTTTTTTGTTTTTTAACTCCTGTACACCTAAAATATAAAATTATTTATGAATTTATTGCATTACACACGAAGTAAAAAAATTTAAACAACAAAATACTACTTCAAGAACCACCAGCTTTTAAAATAAAAAAGAATCATCAAAATCGGTTCACACTCGAAAGTTCTGAGGTAACAAACAAAAAAAAAACAGTCAACAACAATTGAAAACCTCATCTATTGTGAAGTCGATTAAAAAATACAGTAGGTACAAACCTATATGTAATTCTTTACTTATCCGATCCCAGGCGTCATTTACTTTATTTTTATCTTTGTGTTGGGAGTTTTTTGGATTCCAAATTATTGGTTCCATTTGGTATAATTCCATAAAAGTGGTGCACATTTCATTACTCCACTCCGCCATGATAAAAAATCGCACGCGTCCTTATTTCGCTGCGGTCAACAACAAAGTAAGCGAGCGCGAGAGTGTGGTTAATCGCCTCGCCTCGCCCCTCGCGTCCTTTGACTCGCGCCCAAAAAACCGACACGAAGCGGAGCGACAGCGAGGCGAGGCGAGGGAAGACGAGGGAGCACGAGCGCACCGTCCACACTCTCGCACTCGCGTTGCCTCGTGTAGCCTCGTCGAGAGTGTGGATGGGCTATTAGGTGAAATCTCTTCCTGAAGTCCTAGAAAGCCGTAAATTGGTATGCAAGTTAGTACACGAACAAGGGGTTAAAGTTTCAAGTTTCAGATCTTTTTTTGTTTGCATGTTTACATACCAAAATTTTAGTTTTCTAGGACTTCATGAAATAGGTATCTACTATATGAATTTTGACGATCATCAAAAAAACCCCGATTTCGTCACTAACTCAGTGACAAAAATGGGGTTTTAAGATACCAATAAAATCTTAATCTACGCAACTGAAAATAAGTTTATTAAGTCTACTATGTATTGCATCATATCATATCCCGAGAATTTTGTTTATCAGATATAATGCAAACCCAAGTTATGCTGGTTTAAAAAAAACGACGTAGCACTGCGAGATATTAAACAAAAATATAATTGGATAAATGCAAAACATTATTTAATCTGATGTACTAACTAATAAACAATGCAAAATTTTCATGACCTGAGCTGGCTGAGCTTTTTATGATAGATGCACATAGCATTAAAACCATAGGAAGCGAGAAGATACATCTTTTAGAATGCTAAAATAAAAGCTTTATACACGTTTGGTTTATTAACTCTCATTCCGAGGTTGATGTTTTTTTGGCTTATATGACTGGACTTAAGAGATTTTAGTTCTTTTGAAAAATATTGCTTTTTACATAGTTCAAAATTTAGGAAATGAAAATTATGCATCGCAAACACCTACTTCGTTTAAGCTTTAGGTTCGATTAAAAAATCCAAATTTCTATAACCCTATTGTCGCATTTTTCTGAAAACTATGAGATGTTACGAAAATCTTTAGAGCTTTTGTTTTCTAAATAATTCTCCTTCCAAGTAAGTAAATAAAATGGAGAAACCTGAAAGACTCCGAAGCCTGTTACGCTGGTCGGATTGAGCCCTCTACGCACGGCCCAAGAAATAGAAAGGGAACACCTGTACATACATACGCACGGACCCAGATGTCACGACCCTTAGGATTCAGGATACCGGCAAAAGGGGAAAATAAAAATAAATAATACTTAAGAATAATTCTTTTTATCTTTGATCTATACATTAAGAAAAAATACTAAATCTGGCTAAGAGTTAACATTTCTCTTGCAACAGTAATTAATTGCGGTTTTACAACAGCAAAGGACATTAACAGATGCTATGTTTTAAGATTATGTTATTTTTTAAGATCCAAGCTGTCTTACCAAACTGTTAACTATAAGATGAGCAATATGCTCGTTTGTGATCTCAGTGACATGCCTATGCATTAATCATCCTACCTTACCCCCATCAATCTGGTTTACAATCCTTAAAAAATTAAAGATTCTTATGAGCTATTTCCAGATCTAAAATCTTTAAAACACCAATAAGTTACTCAGAACATTTATAACACCTTATTATTACGACCCACAGCTAAGACATTCGTCCTTATTTTGCAAGGAACATGTAATAGCTGCCATGTTGGCGTCATCGGCTTCTGATTTATCATTAATGGATTCTGACCTGCCATTTATAGCTTTATTTTTAACCCTAGATTTATCAACTGTAAATTGTATGGCATTAACCGCTGGCTTTGTACGTAAATAGTACATGCCTGTTTTTAAACCCATCTTCCAGGCATAGAAATGAATAGATGTCAATTTTCCATAATTTGGCTCTGCGACATGAATGTTAAAAGATTGGCTCTGATCAATAAAAGCTCCTCTGTCTGCAGCCATTTGGATTGTTGTTTTAACAGAAATTTCCCAAACAGTTTTATATAAGTCCCTTATTGTCTTTGGTATAGATTCTATCTTTTGAATAGATCCATTGTGATGTATAATGAGATTCTTCATATCTTCATCCCATAAATCTGCTTCAGTTAAATCATGCAAAAGATGGTGATTTACCACTTGAAACTCGCCAGACAAAACACGTCTCTGATAAATGTTTGATGTAAATGGTTCAAAGGACTCATTATTGCCTAATATTTGAGCAGTGGAGGCTGTGGGCATGGGTGCCAGTAACAATGAATTTCTTAATCCATGTTTTGCAATTTTTTCTTTGATGGTAGCCCAATTCCAAAGGTCTGTTGGAACCTTGTTCCACATATCATATTGTAAGATCCCTTGACTTGCAGGACTGCCTTCATATGTTTCATACACTCCATATTTCTCAGCTAATTCACAACTTGCTTCTAAAGCTCCATAGTAAATGGTTTCAAATATTTGCTGGTTTAATTTAATAGCTTCTTCACTTTCATACGGGATTCTCATCAAAACAAAAGCATCAGCTAATCCTTGCACTCCAATTCCTATGGGCCTGTGTCTCATATTTGAATTTCTTGCCTCAGGTACTGGATAATAATTAACATCAATTATCTTATTCAAGTTTTGGGTTATTATTTTTGTGACATCCTTTAGCTTTGTAAAGTTATATGTTTTATCTTCATTAACAAACATGTTCAAAGCAATTGAAGCCAAATTACAAACAGCAACTTCATCAGGTGAGGTGTATTCAACAATTTCAGTACAAAGATTGCTGCATTTAATTGTGCCTAAGTTCTTTTGGTTACTTTTTCTGTTGCATGAATCTTTGTATAACATAAAGGGGGTTCCAGTTTCCACTTGTGACTCTATTATAGCTTTCCATAAAACCTGTGCTCTAACTTGTTTAATAAATCGTCCTTCTTTTTCATATTGGTGATAGAGAGCATCAAACTCTTCACCCCAACAATCAGCAAGCCCAGGAGACTCATGAGGGCACATGAGACTCCAATTTTCATTTGCTTCCACTCTTTTCATAAACAAATCTGGTATCCACAAAGCATAAAATAACTCTCTTGCACGTACTTCTTCTTTTCCTGTGTTCTTTTTTAAATCTAAGAATTCAAAGATGTCACTATGCCAAGGCTCCAAGTATACAGCAAAAGCACCGGGTCTTTTATTTCCACCTTGATCTACATAGCGGGCTGTATTATTATAAACTCTTAACATGGGGACTAGTCCATTAGAGACTCCATTGGTGCCAGCTATGTAGGTACCCTTAGCTCTTATACAGTGTACATGGACACCAATTCCACCAGCCGATTTTGAAATTAAAGCGCATTGCTTCAGTGTATCATAAATGCCTTCAATGCTATCATCTTTCATTGCAATCAGAAAACAAGAGGACAGCTGTGGACGTGGTGTGGCAGCTGAAAAAAGTGTTGGACTAGCATGGGTGAAGTACTTCTCAGAGAGTAGATTGTAAGTATTTATGGCGCTATCTATGTCTTCACCATGTATACCAATGGAAACTCTCATTAACATATGCTGAGGCCGTTCTGCAACCTAGAAAATTAATAACAATATCAATCAAATAAATTAATTAAAGCATTAAAAGTAATTTATCTAAGATAATACCTTATTTTTTATTTTTAATAAATAAGATCTTTCCAATGTTTTAAACCCAAAGTAATTATATTTGAAATCTCTATCATAAACAATAGCCGAGTCTAATCTTTCTTTGTTTTTTTTAATTATATTGTAATGGAATTCAGAGATCATGGGTGTCTCCTTTTGAGTGTGTGGATTCTTCAGATTGTACAGGTCACTCATAACATCTGTAATCAATCCATAATTAAAGTTTCAATTAAAATATAAAATGTTCGAAACTTTGAATACATTCTTTCTTTTACCTGAAAAGTGTTTTTTGGTTTCCTTGTGCAAATTAGATATGGCTAGTCTTGCAGCCAATATTGCATAATCAGGATGATCAGTTGTCATAGTAGCTGCTGTTTCAGCAGCTAAGTTGTCCAATTCAACAGTGGTCACTCCAGAATATATGCCACTGATGACTTTTAGGGTAATGGAGACCTAAAAGACGAATAGATTGAGTTAATCTTTTGGAATCATTTTTAGCCCTATAAAATAAAAAGAGAACTTGTCCATTTACTAAGAAATAACTATAGGACTATTAAATAGTTCAGTATAAGTGTTTATATAACAGTTTTTGTTTAAACGAATAAATGGTTATTAATTTTATTTTAAAATTTATATTTTATTATTAAGAAAAAACGGCAGATCCTGTACACCTAGTAATATATGATGAATGGTTTTGAGATTTGTATTGTGTGTGTTTACTTACTATTCGTTCAACTAAAAACAAAAGTAAACCAACAATCACCAACAACAAAAGATACCTATTCTATTAAGTTCTTTTTTGAACTTAAATACCTTACCTTAAACTACGATTTTTGATAATTAAAAACAATTGCCCTAATACTAAGTTGCCTTAACTCTAAATTCAAACCAAGATCTTAATAGAAGTCGGTATTAAGGTTTAAAAATTAACCTTAATGTCGACTAAATTAGAAAGAAGAAGAAGAAGGGGAAAAGCACGTATTGTCTTAAAAAGATTTCACTTTAGTATTTAAATACTATCACACAATTTCGAATATTTATCTTTTTAATTTATTGTAACGTACTTATAAGTACGCATTACGTTGTCAAGCTGAAAAGCACGTTTTTTTGTAAGTATTGTTATTTTCCTCGCTAGAGAGTTCCGATAAACGCGTGCGATCGCTGCTTATCATAAAGTGCTATAGGGCGAAGCGCGGCCTTTGCCCTATTGCTAAGCTAAGAGGTAGACATATACCTTCGAGGACTTTTTTGTAGACCTTTTTAAGGTGTACAATACTGTAGTACATTATTTTGATCTATCTCGTAGGATTCAGCCGGCGTTTGCAATGTAAGCGCAAAAAAAATGAGTTTATTGACGACATCACATTAGAAACCTCTAAAATTATCAGTGTTTCTCGACTATATTATGCATGTATTATACATATAAACCTTCCTCTTGAATTACTCTATCTATTTTAAAAAATCCCTCGTCAAAATCCGTATATATATGGATATGTATGTTTTTAAAATACATAAGTATCATTATCGACAGTCTGGTTACCATAGATAGTACAGGCTCTGCCTAGGTGTGTTTTACTTTTTATAAAATGTAATAAAAAACCAACTTTAAACAACAAGAACAACCAACCCTAAAACCAAAATTATCTTAAAAAACTTTAGAAGTTTGTGTTCGTAAATGGTATGGAATTAGGAATGGATTTTTTTTGGTGATGCAAATTTTGATAAACTGTAACCATAGCAAAAATAGGACCACATTCCCATTCTTCCTCATAAAGAAATTAAAAAATTAAACCTAAAACAACAAAAAAATCTCCGTTCTTATTAAGCATAGAATATTGAGGTTTTTTTGTTGCCAACAATCATGTTTATTAATATAATTATATTTCTTATAAGTAATAAAGTGTTATTTTTCAAAGTAAAAATATTTGTATTTTTTCCATAAAACTACTTTAATGTCAAATATCTTACGTTTAAATCAAAACTGTTTTGGGAGTTCTACTCTTGCATTTATAAACGATTTCGTTTATCGATAGAAGTAAATAAAATAAGATGTCTGTTTTTTCGGTCAAAAACAATTATGTGCAATGGAAACATTAGCAAGTAATCACAAAAAAAAACTTGCGTACTACACTTGCCAGCAATATGTTAAAATAAAAAAATAATATCTACTGGCGCTCTTAGTACATCATCTTGTAGAAAATGTAAGCACTTACGGGATCAACAAAATCCATGTTTAAACCATAGCATAGCTTTTTAATCCTGGATGTTATTTTATCAATATGCACCTCCTCCATTCTTCCACCTGAAAGGACAACGCAATGTTTTATAATACACAATCAAGAGCATTTTATTACATTAAAAGCCTCTTAATACGATAACCACGATACGCCAATTTCACTTACTACGGCAAATTAAGGTACATTTTATTACGTTTTTTTTAGTTCAGTGCGCGATCAGTGCATTGCATTTACAATATTATAAGATAGTCAGCAAAGTTAACGTCCTTCTAGAAGAACCGACGACAGGCCCCCAACGGCAAGGGGCGCAAATATAGTCAGGGTTCCGAATTCCAAAAGATTATCTATTCTTAGCGACCCGCCCCGGCTCGGTGCAATGTAGATTCTATATGTATAATAATATAATTTATATATTTATTGTGATTAGACTATACTACGATATCTCTATACACAATATTTATATGCCGCCTGTCGGTCGCTGACCCCCGGCACGGACGTATGGCCCGACGGCCGCTTTGCTCCAACATTTTAAATCTCTGATATCTTCAAGATAATCTTTTTAATGATATGCTGTGAAGCGCAATCTTGATCTACATTAAATGCACAACGTATCTATCTAACCTATTTAATTGGATAAGGAATAATAGTACATTGTTTAAAACGGTTCGTAAATAACCCATTTTTTTTGTTACACTGAGTTATCCTTAGGAGATAGACATATAACAAAACGGACTTTTTTGTAGATCTTTTTAAGATATACAATTACGTAGTACAATATTTTGATCTATCTCGTAAGCTTTAGCCAACGTTTACAATGTAAGCGCACAAAAACATGTTTTTTACGACATCAATTTAATTATTTTTTTCTACTACTATTTGCGTTTATTGTACATATAAACCTTCCTCTTGAATCAATCTAATGGTGAAGACCGCATTAAAATCCGTTGCGTAGTTTGGATATCTAAACGTGCAGGAACGAAAAGCGAATTCATTTTATAATATGTAAAAATTGTTACTTTTTTAACCTTTTTAAAGAAACTTTACTTTTTAAGGCAATTAAAGAAAGTAATTAGGCGTGAGCTGTAAGATTGATACGCCACGGTATGTTACATTTTAATGAAAAAAGCGGCCAAGTGCGAGTCGGACTCGCCCATGAAGGGTCCAGTAGCAGCAAATAACATAATATAAAAGTTCTTGTAGTTCGTTGTAACTTTGATCGAATTGAATTTCGATTGAAATTTGATAATGATACGATTCATGACGTATTAAAAAAACCTACTTACTAGATCTCGTTCAAACCAATTTTCGGTGGAAGTTTGCATGGTAATATACATCATATATTTTCTTTAGTTTTATCATTCTCTTATTTTAGAAGTTACAGAGGGGGGGGGGGGGGACACATTTTACGAAGTGTCTCTCCCGCAAACTATTCAGTTTAGAAAAAAATGATATTAGAAACCTCAATATCATTTTTAAAGGCCTATCCATAGATACCCCACACGTATGGGTTTGATGAAAAAAAAAATTTGAGTTTTAGTTCTAAGTATGGGGTAAACCCCAAAATTTTGTTTTTTTTCTATTTTTGTGTGAAAATCTTAGTGCGGTTCACAGAATACACCTACTTACCAAGTTTCAACAGTATAGTTCTTATAGCTTCGGAAAAAAGTGGCTGTGATATACGGACGGACAGACAGACATGACGAACCCATAAGGGTTCCGTTTTATGCCATTTGGCTACGGAACCCTAAAAATAGTAAAAAAAGGCATTCTAATTTGCGTTAATCTACTAGGTTAAGCTATCAATAACGCATAAAATATTGGGCTCTTAGTTCTTGCGTTTTAGTAAAATTCTACTTTTATTTACTTTTTAACAATTAGCTTTAGTGACATTTTTACTAAAGACACTACTAACTACACTAACATTATGATAAGCTGAACACAATGTATAAAGATTGGTGATATGGATTGGTGATATGGATTGATACACCATATTCTATGGGAACTTCTCTGCTAATGTATTTAACATTAGCAGAGAAGTTCCCATAGAATATGGTGTACCACAAGAAAGCATCCTTCGTCCCACACTCTTCTTAGTTTATATTAATGAAATGTGCTAATTACAACTAACAGATGGCAAACTTTTAGCATTATCTGATGATACCACGCTTATCTTTACGTGCCAAACGTGGGAAGAAGTCTACGATGCTAAGTGGTTAGCAGATAACACACTGGCACTTAATGTCGACAAGACTAAAATCCTAAGATTTCAAATTAAAAAAAAACAATATGCCAAATAGATATTCTATTACGGCTCATAACCACACTACATGCTGTTGTCTGACATGCAATTGCCCTCATTTACAAAATGCAGCTACCATTAGGTATTATATAGGTATACCATTAGGTAGTGGCAGACAGAGATCTGAGTTTTATTGAATCTGAAAGCTATATTCCTTCAGTTTCTACTATCACACCTTCTTCACATACATGACTGCACACTTGTCTACAACCTCCATTCCTCCGTCTTCAAATTCCATTTTGATAGAATTACTAAACTTTTCAGTCACCTTAAATAACGCTGACAATTGTAATTTGGTGGGGGCTAGTAGTTTCAAATCATCCATATAAAGAAGGTGAGATATAACTTGATCATCTTTTTGCAACCTATAGCCTAACCCTGAACCCTCTAATAAAGTGCTAAGAAGGTTCAAAGCCAGACAAAACCACAAGGGACTCAGACTATCACCTTAAAATATAAAATTATTATTATTACTTTTTAACTAATTCAGAGGTATCTAAGTAAAATATATTAGTGTCTTATTCATGTATTTAATCAGATAAATTCATGTTTTGAAGATTACTCAGTAAAGACATTAATGAATTGAGGGACCTAGATATACCACCATTATTGAAGATTGTATTCTACTGTTTTTTTAATTTCTTTTTTTTCTATAATAAAATAACACAGGTATCTGTGATTTAGGCTATGCCACTATGTGCCATTATAACTTAACTGGATCATTAAATTTTAAATCAAGTCAAGAATTTCAAGAAGCGGGCAGGACTAGATGTTGGGATTTTTGGCATTCTATTATTCTACTGGAGTCTAGTAGACTTAAGTTTAAACAGATAAAACAGTAATTTTTTTAATAAACAGTAAGTTTTTACATTAAAAGCAATTCATTAACACTAAGAGTAACATGATTTTAAATCCTATTATTTTAAATCTTATTTATTTGACAAGAATATCAATGAACAAAAGCCCAAATGAATAAACTTGTTTCAACAACAAGAGTTCTTTGTCCAAAATAAAGTGTATTTTTTAATTACAATCTGAGATATAAAGAAGAACATTTAAAACAAAAGAATTGTTATTGGAGGAGTAATCTAGCAAAGTGCTTATTTTGCAAATTACTCCTTTTTAAAAGTGCCCATTACGAGAAGGGCTCTTTATGAAAAGAACAGCAATTGCAAAATGCATCTTTTATTACTTTGTTTATGGTATAAAGTGGCAAACGAGCAGACGAGTCACCTGATGGTAAGCAACTACTTGTACACATTTGGTGTCTGAGCTGAGATAATTAATAAAAATACTAAACCATCTGCACATTTTTTTCCTATTCCCAGGGAGCCATACCTTTAATCAACTTGACTATACAATTTGCGAACCCTTAGCAGCTGATTCCTATGAAAAATACTCTTACAAGAACACGAGTCCTGGGTTGAAAAATGAGAGTCAAAACATAACAATAGAATAGGGTAAAATCAAATGACCTTACACTCTTGTTAACATAGAAAATCCTAATTCTATGACCTACCATTTGCTTAATAATACAGAGATGGCATCAAGTGAGTTATCGCTTTTTAGTTGGCTCGTAACCTTTTATTAATTTTTTGCAATGCAGTGGATAATTCCTTCAAATTTCCTATCGACTCCCAAGGGACGCCATCGCTACGATGCAGGAACCAGGAATATGAAGTGCTTCCATTAAAATCCAACCTAATAGCCAGCCTCAGACTCCCTATCCAAGACTCGTAGGGTCTAGGATGCACAATTTAGAGGTAACGGTAACGATAGATTCGGTTTAGTTCAAACGTCATTCATAATTTAGGATACGTCTACCTCCCTGAGTTATATGGATATGATAACAGGTAAGGAATAAATACTTATAGTATATCAAAGGGTAATAAAAGTTTACTTACCACGTTTCAACACAAAGAGCTTATTTGACTTCCCAACCATGATTACCGGTATTTAATTTAGGGAATTTTAAGGAATAAGTTTAAGCCAAACAGTGTTGAAAAAATCCACTCGAACAGATAAAATGTTAATAGTATCCCGTTAAAATTCCCTTAATTTCATGGAATCAGAAGCAACGCAATCGAATCGAATGAGAATGATTGACGTTAAATTCGGCGGGAAAATCTGTGCTAAGCTGTGTTGTGCCTATGGTTTTTTGGCTCTGTCATTGTCTTGCCTTGGTTGCGAGGATTTTAAAATAAAATATTTTTTAGTAATTTGGGACACTTTTTATTAGTTTAGTTTTTGTTGTAGGATCTACTACGAGTAGTAAGTACTGCCCATTAGGGTCATAAGAGGGTACCGCACGATCTCCTTTGAGTCGGCGAGTCTCCTGGCCGGAACTTCACCGTGGGACCTGGAGGCGAGAGCCGTTTCGGCTCTGTACCAGTGTCGCATGGATTCGCGGGAGTTGGATTAGAAATCCCAACTCCCCCAGGTCCTCGTGGAGGAGTGGAAGGAACGACTTGGGCAACTGAGCGCTGGGCATTCCTTTATCGCGGCGGTGAGACCCGTTATGGAGGATTGGTTCGAGAGGCATCACGGAACCCTCTCATACCGGTGTACGCAGGTGATCACCGGGAAAGGATGCTTCGGAGATCACCTGTGTCTGATCCGCAAGGATCCAACGTATGAGTTCCACCACTGCGATGGCCGGACCGTGGAGACGGTGAAAAAAAAGTATTAAAAGTTTAGTGAATTTTGTATCTTATTACCATTAACTTACAAAAAATGTTTTGTTAAAAAATGTTCATTAGTTTTCCAGGTATTTTATTTGTTTATTAAAAAAGGTCTAATGTTTAATAAAATTGATCTATTAACGTTATTAAAAATAGTTCACCCAAGGCTCATTTTTTTTGTTACAACGTCAATTTTATAAATATTTTATTGCCGTATCGATTATGATTAATTTTGACCTTTAAAAATAGCGTCAACAAGATCAACAAGAACAAATAAACGTATCGTCACGAAACTTTTGTATTTCGATTGCCGGTAATTTTCTACGAATTTATAAAAAAAAATTGTTTAATGCGCCAAATGTTTATTTCTAACCGTTTATGCAATGCACTTATTGCTGAAATTTTACATGCATCTTATTGATAATTTTAACTTTGTGAATTCATCGAGTTTCACTTGAAAAAGATTATCTACATAGAAAAAAAGCAATATTAATAAAAAAGTACTGATTACTAAGATTTTTTGTTCTTGAGGCAGATTCATTTCGTTCAAACGAATTCAAAATCCGATAAAGCGAACAAAATGTCATATCTCCGGTACTTTAATTCCGAATTTGATGTTTTTTTTTAACTTGAGGAACCGACCGAAATAATAACAACTGTTTAGGCCACAATGTTGACACGATAAGTTAAACATAATTGTTATAAACAATCTTTTTTTTCAAAACATGTATTGCATTTGTTTAATCGTTTGAATGCGTGAATATCTTCGTTGAGAGGCAATACAATTTTAAACATTCCCGCTCTGCTCGGAATCTGAAAAACGAGAGGAAGACGGGGAATATCATATGGTGTTAATAATTTATAATAAAAACATTGTAATAATATGTAATATTTTTATAGTTTTTAATTTCAATCAAAATAGAAAAAAAAGTGAAACATATGTTTCATTGTTAGCATCGTAATGTCAAATAGAACATTGGTATTGGTATTGGTTGTGCGCTTCGGTTTCCGCATTTAGACTCAAGAGTGGTCCTTTATGCGTCGAGGACTGGTTAGCTAGGTGATACAACCAAGCTCTTTCCAGAAGCGCAGAAGCCTCCTGAGGCGTTCACACACTTCTAGGAGCGATTTTGTATCGGGAATGATACTTGCCCGTTGTGTGGCCACTCCCTCGCATTCCAGGATTACGTGGGCGGCCGTTTCTTCTGCTTAGACTGATCAATCTACAGATGAGTTGTGGTGTGACTTGAGCCAGCACCAGTCTGGACTGTCTTCAGCCGAGTGAGTTTTTTAACCTCCGGTTATGTGCTTCACGAGTCCGTTGCCTGGCCCAGAATCGTATTTGGTTAAACGGTATTGGCAGGAGTATGGTTGGGCCGGTAGCTGGGGTTGCCGAGCCCCTCATTGCCAACTCATCTGCGGCATCTATCCGTGTGAGTTACTGTGCCCTTTAATCCATTGGAGGAGTACCACATTTAATGTGGCAAGCTGCTCCAATGCTTGATGGCATTTGAAGACAATACTAGAGGTAATTGTGTTACCCTCTAGTGTCTTTAGTACGGCCATGCTGTCGGATAGTATTCGGATGTTATAGTCCTTGATAGTTATTGCCACACATTCGCATTGGAATATGGAACTGTGTTGCCTAACGCTAGTGCAATGTTCATATTTAGGTCTTGCGAGAAAACTCCGGCTCCAGTTCCTGATCTAGTCTTGGAACCGTCCGTGTAAATTCGGGCTTCGTTAATGCCGGATTGATCTCGGTCATTTTCTTGTATCTAGATATAGTATCTTTTTGTGAAGATGTGGTGACTGGGATTCTATCGCATGGGGCTGCTATTAGTGTTTCGTATTCCACCAATTGATTCTATAATTTGGAGTGCGAGCACAGGATTCTGAGTCTAATTATTGCCATGGCGGCCTCCTGCTGTATAAATAAATCAAGTGGGGGCAGACCCAGAGCCACCTCCAGTGCGGCAGTTGGCGTTATGCGCATACAGCCAGTGACCGCAGACCATGGAAGTCGCTGGAATTGCTGCAATTTGTTTATGACGGTGCTTAGCTCTGTTCTCTGCCACCAGACAACAGCACCGTAAGTGATTATTGGTCTTATGACTGTTCTGTAGAGCCACAGAGTAATCTTGGATGATAGTCCCCAGCTTTTGCCGAGTAACCGTTTGCATTGACAGAAGATAATACAGGCTTTGTTCAGTTTTTTATCGAGGTGCTTATTCCACAGGAGTTTACTGTCCAGTATTACTTTTCAACTATCTTCAGTGCAAGTCTCATTTGATCTATTAGCCTCTCGAGAACCTTTAATAGGAAGGACGTGAGACTGATAGGTCGGTGTGATTTGGGTGTGTGTGTAGTTACCTTTACCAGGTTTGGGGGTGAAGACTACTTTAACTTCTCTCCATTTCAAAAGGATCCAGTAGTATCACATCACACCATCTCATTAGGCCTGGAAAGATACCATCTAGTCCTAGCGCCTTGAATGGCAGGAAGCTCTTAATTGCCCATCTTAGTTTGTCACTGTTGAAAATTTTGCGGGCCGTACCCAGTCTGGTTCTTTTTCCCATCTATCTTCCCATGTTTCCGTCATATCTGATATGCGACATCCAGGGAAGTGTGTTTTCAATAACAGCTCTGAGGCTTCCGAGTCTGTTTTGGTATACCCACCATCGGGCTTCTTCAGTAAGCCAAGATTGTGGTCGCATCTACTACACAATATGTTTTTGACTCTGTTGGCCTGGTTGTTGTTCTCTATGTTAGTACAGAATTTTTTCAAAACTCAGTTTTCCTGGTTCTGATTCTCTTCTTATATTGTTGTCAGGCCTGCGTATAGGCATCTCAATGTTGGTCTAGTCGGGAGTTTTTCCTTTATTGAACTTTCTCACTTTACAACGTAGTCTTTCCAGTTCCGGACCCCACCATTGGTATTTGTTCTGGGGTCCAGTTCTGGGTAGAAAGTGGGCATGTTTGTTCAAAGCAATCGTTCAGTGTCTTTGTAAGGTTGAAACATGACTGTCAATATTCTTAACAGTCCCCGGAGCATATGTTGAGGCTATACTCTGCAGCTTCTCCGGTAAGATGCTCATACCGTTTCCGGTCCATCATACGGGGATAAAGTCGGGGATCGGGTAGTTTAAGATTCATTTCACAATTAAATTTGATCCAACGATGGTCCGAGCACGATGCTTCATTCGAAACATGCCAGTTCGATATGTGTTGCGATGCGTGCTCAAACGCTAATGTTAGGTCAATGATAGTTTGGGCCCTGGATGTGACAAATGTCGGCTCCGAGCCTATGTTAATAATCTTTAGCTTAGTTGATAGTAGGAACGATACAAATTCCTCACCTCTCCGGTTGTTGCTCCTGCTATCCCACAGCGCATGGTGCGCGTTGGTGTGCCAGCGCAGCCAGCTCCGGAGTGGGGATGCCAGCGTCACCCGTCAAGTAGGCTAATGCTATCACCACGTCAGGCAGGTCTGATGAGGGTTCCTTTAACCTAATAGAGGTAAGGTCTCTGGAACAGACCTCGGTCATTAAGGTAGTACACGCGTGTTTTGGTGTATAAATACAAGTGCGCGGATAATCAATGTTAGTGTTGAGAAGTATCTTACCTCCAATATTGTTTAGATCGCAGATCCTGCCCTTCCTAATTCACTGCTCCTGGATTAGGGCTACGGTGTTGGTGTTTACCTCCAGCTCTCTGCGTAAGTTAGCCGTTGTTGTCTGACTGTACTGGAAGTTAGTTTGAATGGTTGTAAGGGTGTTATTGGGGGGTACTGACAGCGCCATCATCGCTGCTCAGCATATCCTCCATGTCCTCGTCAATGTCACCCTCGCCCACCGGCAGGTCGTCCAACTCCTCAGGAGGGGAACCCCGGCGGGCTGGTTCCTCGACGGGTCTCGGAGGATCACCTCCACTGCCGTCCTTGGGGTGGTGTAGGGCCATTTCTGGGCAATCGTCTAGGTTTGTTGGTGGGGTGGGACGTCCTTAAGGAAGCAAACGTAGAGGTTGCCCAGTTTATAGTAAACTCTACGCTCGCTAGCCTTTAGTTGTACGACGTCCTCGGACTGCCTCCTGACTACCAGCTTGGTGTCTTCGCGCCTTATTGATCTAATCTAATTTTTTTTTATGTGCTCGACATTATTATTATTATCATCTGTATCTGATGCAATATTTTGTATTAATCACATCTCAATACATTTTGATATTGAATCGATCTCTTAATTTATTCCACTGTTACAATTTTCAT